TAACGCGAATATTAATATCAAAATAGTTATTTTATTCATATTATATTATTCTAAGATATTTTTTGTCGATCACAAGGTGACTTCACCCCACTGCACTGGCACAGTAGTCTCATAACTTTACTTCTTTTATTTTATTATTGTGAAGCAGTCATCAAAATATCGTTAGCAGGGTCCAGAACAATATATATATTGGCAATTTTTTTGTCGTAACTCAAAAAGTTGATTTTTGCCGACGCCCATAGCATATTTATTGTATTTTGATATATCAATGTGGTATTGTAGGTAGTGTTCACTTTTTTATTTTCATAGTGTGAATTATTCACCTATTGTTAAGAAAAAATGTCAAAAGAATTGCGATAATAGTTTTTTTTTTCAAGCAATTTCAAGGGTAGCTATCTTTACTTTTATTGTATTTGGGAATATAAAGAGTCGTAACAAGTTTGTCAACTTGTACGTATATGAAATATGAATGAACGCGTTGTAAGGGCAGAGAGTTCATATTTTACTAAGTAAAGACTTAGTGATTTTTGAAAAAAAAAACGAATAAAATTATGTAAGATTGATACAATACAGAAAAAATAGATTTATTTGTCACTTTCATAATATTATAATTTGGCATATAAGTATTGGTAAAGGTATATAAAGAATATTGTTACTTTGAATACAAAAAAAAAAATATGGATTAGAGTTTTCTAGGAAATATTATAGTGTATTTGACTTTGAAATGAATTAACGCGTAATTAAATTATTACTTTTCTTGAATTAAATACTATAAATCTAGTCAATTATAATCTAGACTAGCATAAGTAATCTAATGATGCAAGTTAGCTTAGTTACAATTTCATTATATACTAGCATTGCCCGCGGCTCCACCAGCGTTCGAATGACCAAAAACCAAATTCTTAGGTTTTACATAATAGTATACTCTTACAATGCAGTTTTTGTATTTTTTCTCAGAAATCAGATATTTTCCCGCGGTAAAAAGTATCCTATATATTAACTCGGATAACCAGCTATCACCATACCAAATTTCATCAAAATCCCTCCATTGGTTTTTCTGTGATGCGGTAACATACAGAGAGACAAAATTTCTAAAAACTATAGATTCAGCCTCTGTATCGATAATAATGTTTATTTCAATTCAATTTTCCAAAAAATATGTAATGTACAGATTCGGCTTTGTTAAAATTTTATTATATGTATACGATATTGATCATTACTTTCAATTTTATAATAAGGCTTGTTGGTTGAAAATTTTTAATAAGAAATACCAAATATTTTCTCTCTAATTAATTTATATGTTGATAATAATTCATTGATAACGCTCGTCTTATCATAGCGTGAAGATATGTTTACTTTCTACATGTGACGACGCGTGCTCACGTGAATCCATGCGAAAATTCAATTATAAAATATTTAAATTGTACCTATAAATAATATTGTATCCTTATTATTTATTAACTTTAATCATTATTTTGAAAAAATATTTTTATAAAATACTAGCAGAACCTGCGGCTTCGCTCGCGCTAAAAGTACACAAAAAAGTACTCCAAAAAGGTAGGTTTCATACAAACTTTCATCCCCTATTTCACCCCCTTATGAGATGAATTTCGAAAAATGCTAAAACACGTATTTATTTAATTGTATTGAAGAGCATTAATACCAAGTTTCAAGTAATTCTGATCATAAATAATTTTTGGGTTTGTATTAAACGTGTTTACCCGTGGGAATGAGATAACCTCCCGCGGTAAAAAGTAGCCTATGTCACTCTCCAGCTCTCCAAGTATCTTCACAGAAAAAATCAAGCCAATCCGTCACTCAGTTTCGACGTGAAAGAAAGACAAGCAAACAAACACACTTTCACATTTATAATATAAGTATGGATATCTAAATAGCCTGATAGAAAAACGTCAATAAATTTCGCTTTTTAATGTTAGCTTCGCGTTTTGTTTAATTTTTTTTTTACTCGTTTTTCATATTTATTTTTACTTTTTCCTTTACATTCCCATTCACTCCCTCCCATTCATATCTTTGAGATGCGTTATACAAAACATAATATATTTATTTATTTGATCGCATTTATAAAAACTTTTCAGAACATTCTATGTAGTAGTACTTAGTCACATGGAAACTGAGATAATAAATTACATCTAGCCATATAATAAAATTCGAACTGAGTCGAATCTTTACATTAAATAGTTTTTGGAAATTCTTATTGAACTAGTCATAATTATCGATACAGGGGCCGAATCTATTGTTTTTAGAATTTTTATCTGTCTATCTGTCTGTCTAGGAACACAGCATTAGAAAACCACTGGGTTTTGATGAAATTTGGTATGGTAATAGCTGGTTATCCGGATCAACGTATAAGAATACTGTTGACGATGTGCAGTACCCAGAAGACTTCATAATAAAGATCATAATATTTATTAAGTTATGTTGCTGTAAAACACAATTTTTACTTTTATAATAGTAATAAGGATATTAAAAAATATTTTCCCATATTAATTGAAAAAAATCGCATCATATTTCTATGGTTGATTAACGACAATTTTCATGGGATATAAATGAAAGGACTTTGAAAGAAACTCATGTATGAGTTCTACTTTAAAATTCTTATATTATGCAAAAACAGTACATGAGAACAATATTAAAATACTTTACCCATTCTAAGACATATTGGCAATGATTAATCAAATCAAAACTAGGTACAGGTTTTAATCAATTACATATCCTAAGGGCTTATAATAAAGTTCATTATTCTTAATATAAAATGGGGGTTAACGTCTTAAATTAGTTTAAAGGTAATTTGAACTCTACCGTCATAGTAATAGAGTTCAATTTCAAATATTCAAATTAGGGGATGATCAAAAAAATTTGCATGCCTTTGCAAGCGCCGCGGGCGTCGTAACTATTGTAACAGGCTTAAGAATCTTAGTATGTATATTAAAATTTCTATACGTTACCATAGCTTAATAAAACGGTAATATACAGGTAATGATGCGATCAGAATCTCTAAACAGGTTTTGTCTATTTTTTAAATGAAAGATGTGCAAATTTCGTGAGAAAAAATGTGGGTAACATCTTTTTCATCCGTTCTGGAACAAATCCTTATTAATTACTCTGTCTTGGGATGTCTCTGGGGACCAGGATAATGGATGGTTTGGATAATTTCGATAACTATAATATGTATGAAAGTGAGTGAGTGGTATTGTAATTAAAAGATTGTTAGTAGGTAAACCATTTTGCAAATAAATTTTTAGGGTATTGTAACTTGTAATGTTTGTCTTTAAAATGTAATTTAAGTTTTCAATTTTACACTACGGGGTATCTTTTTTTTTAATTTATATTTGTTTTTTATTTGTTTAAAAACTTTTATGTTACATATGAATAGAATTAATGACATTAGCTGAAACGTTTTAATATAAGTAAAAAAAACAAAGCAAAGTTAGGTTTAAAAGATGGTACATAAAATAAATAATAAACCTAATCCAATATTAAATTAAGTAAAAAAAAACCCGACTTCTAGGCTCTAAAATGTAAAAAATAACTAAACGGGGGTTTTCATTTAGAATAAATACCTAATCAGATAATTTTCGAAGTCGGTCCAGCCGATGCAAAGAAAATCTAATATATTTCGATACGTAAAATACTTACATCACAAATATCAATTTGTGTTGTATTTTAACTATAATTAGATTAAATACCGATATTTTCATTTTTAGTGTAGACATAATAAGCAGGTAATTTGTAAGAAGACAGATTTTTAATAACATATTCGATCTAGTAATTTATAAAAAAAAAATTGTTTATTTCTTAAGAACCGCTCGACCGATTTCAATAAAATTTGAATGGGACCATCAGGCGTCTTCGAGTAATCGGTAAACATGCATAAAAAAAGATTCCTGCGAATTGAGAACCTCCTCCTTTTTGGAAGTCGGTTAAAAATAATCATAATTTGTTTTAGAATAAAATAAAAAGTAATATAGTACGGATCATAACAAATAATCTTACTTTTTTTTAATATTATAATCTTGCTTATATTATAAATGTAAAAATTTAGATAGATGTTTGGATGTTAGTTATTCAATCACCAGAACGGCTGAACGAATCTAGATGAAATTTGCCACAGAGGTAGATTATAGTCTGAAATAGCACATAAAATACTTTTTATCCCGGAAAAAGGTACAATTCCCACAGGGTAGGTTTGTTTCTGTTTTTCTAGAGGCGTACCCGAGCGAAGCGAGGGTCAGCCGCTAGTACATGATAAAACTAATATGGGATCATCCTTGATTTGAGATTGCTTGATTGCTTGCTTGCATTATTAATAAAAAAGTATTATTGATCAATTTACAAATAGCAAAAATATCTTATAATATACACATAAAAAATACAGCCAGTATGAGTACTTAAATGCTACTTTAAGAAGTCGGTCAAATTATCAAAGATTATTTTTAAAAATCAATTGACTTTCTAATTTTTCTATTTTGTAATAATAATATAGCGTCTTTCTCTCTGTTTGTGTGCTTAGTCTTCTAAACTTTTAAAAACAGTTTTTTTTAAGGTTTATATATATGTACCTATGTGTAGTACATACTATACATTTACTTTTGTTATATTCATAGTGTTTTTTTAAAAGACTTTATTTATTTAAAAGACAAAGAAAGAACTATTTATTTACGTTATAGTAACTAATATAGTTAAAATAGGTTTGAAGTAGTATATAAAAATGTACTCACTCAGATTAATATGCTCAATGCTCAAAATATGTAAAATATATACATATAGGTATATTTTTATAGCAAAATTTATATGCGTAAAAAAAAATTAAAAAAAATTATTTTATCCAAATTTGTATAGTATTAAAAATACTTTTAATAAACAAAACTTATAAACTAATCATATTGGCTAAGAGAATGCGAGAAAAGAATAATATATTATTAATGCTTACTTTTCTTTACTTACTAAATAAGTTAAGTTGGTAATAAGTTAGTACTTACGTCTACACCCCCATTATTCCATGGGGGTAGTGCGTAGTGGGAGGGGTCATGGTGCCCCCCTCCCATATGTTCTGCCATCACCGACATCCAATGCACTAGGCCTTGCGCCCCGCCGCCGCCTGAGGTACCTGTGAGATAAATATTCAAATTGAGAGCACGTTAAAAATCAATCCTGTACTAATATTCTAAAAAGGATTATGAAAAACAAAGAATTGTATGTTCAATTATACTTAAATGTTTTAATTCAATTGTAGCCAGTAGTAGCTCAGTTGTAGCGTTAATATACTTGTTTGGAAGACCGAGTGAAACGGGTTCATTAATCAAATTTTACATCTTTGAGATACTCATATGCAAAACATTTTTAATTTGTTTACCACATGCTAATAAGGTGAAAAAATATCGCGAGGTCTTAACTAGTAATCGAAAGACACGAGAAATCTGCCAATCCCGATTTGGCCTATACAATATAACAATGGCTTCACCTCACATTTTCAATGTGAGGTGAAGCCTCTTTTCGGATTATTTCGCGGATTTATTTTGATTTTTGGTTCCCGACGTTTCGAATGTTTTACAGCATCCATGGTCACGGGAGAGACTGAGGTGTTACATGTCTTGAATGTATAGTTGTTACATACAGCCTACCCACAATTAACAAAATGAAAAATGCACCAATTACATTACAATATTTTTAACTTTAAAATTTTTTTATAATTTTAATTATAATTGAATATGGAAAATTATTTATTTAATTTTTGCTATTATTTTTATAATTATTACAATTTTAAAATATTAATTAGTAATTTATATTTAGTGTTGCCATTATTATATTTATAACCATAAAGAAAAATATAAAATATAGTATTAATTATTTAAGCCATATAATTGTTCTATGTGTAATTTAAAAAGTTAAAATTAATTAAGGATAATAATTTTAATTTAGTTTGCTATTGTTTAAAAACAACTTACTAAGCAACATTATAATATATACTTTTACAAAGTAATAGTTTTTCATTTTTTTGTTAATAAGCTTTTCCATGTCCTTCCGGATATTTGTCATCGAAGTAGTTTGCGATCTACCTCTCCTCTCCTTTTTGTGACCATGGAAAGGCACTTTTTTACGATGTGGTCATCGGGTCTACGCATTACTTGTCCATACCACCTTAGTAAATTTTGACCATTGAGCGAACATACTATATTTAAAGAATCAAACTACGTAAACTAACGAGATACAGGCTGAGGGAATTACTAAATTCCAGGTCGATTGAGAAAGTGTCTACTATTTAGACTCTTATTGGATTAATTGTACGTAATTGGAAGAGTATCTTATTGGCTTAGCGTCGAATAAGAAATTTATTTATTTATATTTATATATTTTTTCAATTTTTAAGTATAATTAAAAACTTTTTAAATACATATCTTCATTCTTTATATAACTGACTAGCAATTAATCACAGCTCTACCCATTTAGTTTAAATATAACGGATTTTCGTACAAACTTCCAACCCCTTTTTTATCTCTTTAAGGGTTGAATTTGCATACAATATTTCAGAGTATAGGGGAAGCAAATATAAAAGATTAGTGCAGGGATATTCTAAGTGTGAATCCTGACACAAGGCATTTACAAAATTAACATTAACTTATATCAGCCCCTAAGTTAGTTAATTGGTTAAAAAAATAATTCTGGCCACATGACATAATACTTAGATGAATATGATATATGATAACTAGCGTAAATTTGACAAAAATCTGGATTTGTTCTATTTCTCTTCTTACATCCCCCTGACTCGGTTTTTAGCCATTTTTTTTTCTATTTACAGACATTCGACCTGGACAGTTTTATTATATATGTATATAGATGATATGTCTCTATCATGCATAATCAAAGCCCTAGAGGTTATATAATATCTTCTGGTATAAGTTCGTAGACATCAAGTCTTGGAGCATAGACGTTGACGAATAAAATTAAATATATGGGAATGACATACCATGATTCTATGCTTTAACAATTTAATTTGTCATATCAATACAATTTTCAATAATTCTATTTTTCGACGATTCGCTGTATAACATAAAGCCAAATGGTTTTGTAGATTGAACGCGAGCGTAGTGCGGGATCTGATAATTTTTAATATATTTTTACGAATCCATAAGTAGTATAATCTTCTTTATTTACTCTATTTAATATGTATTTTAACTTTATAAAGAATACTAAACATAATTCTAGTCAAAACATAAAACATAAATAATATTTTCTATCTAGGATTGTTGAAATCCTTAGTAAAGCATGTATCGCCTGGAGGTTAATGTAAAAAACTCATTAGAATAGCTGATATTCAGTTGTAATATAACATTTCATTATTTTTTAAGAAAATCTATTTTAATGTTATAATAACATGCGTGTTTTCTAAGATATACGAAAGACTAGTCTAAAAATTTAAGTATATTTGGTTTTATATTCCATTTACCTATTATTATCTATTATACTAAGTCTTTATAAATCACCTCAAAGCGTACCATTCTTATGAATGTTGATTAATTTAAAGGTTTAGTCTGTAATCTGACTAATATTATCTTCAAGGTAATAAAATGAAACGAAACATTATTAAATGAAACAACTACACATAATATGTATAATATATTAGCGACTTACACGCTACGCACGGGTGCATTTCTAGGGGCTTAGCAGTAGCTTACGTGTTATTCCAGATCGGAATATATTTTTGTACTAAGCATCCAAAACCGTCCAACCCTTTCCACCATGATGAAGGAGAACAAATATACATACATACCAAATTTCGCATTTATAATAGTTGTATTCAGCCCTTTTTAACGTCCCACTGCTGGGCACGGATCTCCCTTCAATACGAGGGGGATCAGACCCATTTATATAAGTCCGACAGATTTTCAAGCTAACTTACCAGTAGGCACGGCGGCGGGCTGCGCGGGTGCCTGCTCCTGCCCCCCGCCGCCGGTCACCCCCCCGCCGCTCCACACAAACGCTGATGATGCACCTGCCTTCTGGAACAAGAGACAGTATTAGATATGCAAAAAATAATTATCTATATCTATCTTCTACAAACTACGTAGGTAGTATATGTATACATAATTTGAAGTGACATGAATAAAAGCCACAAATCAAAGAATTTCTTTTGGTAATAGACAGGTGTTAAAGAAGAATCATGAAAATTGGTTGACAATCATGAAGATATTGCATCATATCCATTTAAACGGAGAAGTTCATTCCTTCAGTTGCATTTCGTTTTTATTTTGTTTACGTTATGCCTGCAGACTAGTTCTGTATAATTTTCCAGTAGAAAACAGTTGTTTCCATTCAATTATAATCCGAATATATGTATCTACAGCTTAAGCTTTTCATTCCACGTGCTACTATAATATAATAGGGGAGTCATTTTTGTGGATGCAGGCTGAATACAGGAGAAGACTGGGTAAAAACTAGTTTAAAACTAAAACAAGTTTTAATCTGCCAAAGTTTAATTCTATTTTCTATATGTGTAAATTTGAAGAGTTTGTTTGAACGTGTTAATCTCGTGGATCTACTGGTCCGATTTGAAAGATTATTTTTGTGTTTTATAGCCTTTTTATTGACGCCATAGATTATATATCACAATATGACATACGAGAATGGAGTAATTGTACAAAGTTAAAATTAAAGGATGCGGGCGGAGCCGCGAGAAAACGCTTGTTAAGTCATATGATAATCTACCTCAACTAAGACGTAATAAAGTAACATCATAGGAATTGAGATAATTTCATTTTTTTAAATGAGTCTGTATTTCTTCATTTATTAGAATACCGGTCACGCACTTACTTAAGTTAGACTTTAATAACCACTAAATATTTGTAGGTGTTTTAAAATTTCGTGCTGTATCGAATTTTGACAGACTTTCTTTGTGTACATTACGCGAGATATGATTAATTTTTAATTTTAGGATATCACCCTTAATACTTTCTTAGATTTACGCGAATGTTTGACATTATTAAATAAAACTATCTTTTCGGATTATTTCGCGGATTTACTAGGAGGACTTTTCTAGGATATCACCCTTATTATTTAATTTCAATATAACATACCGCCCTTTAAGTAGAATAATTAGTTAAAAGTGATTGTTAAGACCTAAGTCAATATTTATAGTAATTTGGCCACAATAGTCATATGAGAGCACATCAACAACAAAACCAAAAAAAAAATTAACTTATCCTACAGGGATCCTTTGGTGAACCGCCATTTTAAAGACTTAGATTTTTAGTTACTCTAAATGTTGTATTGGATTGAGTTTAAAAGGAGGAGGATCTTAATTTCAGTGTGAGCTACTCGATATCTTCGCCAGTTAAACTCATAACCGATTTTCAAATTCGATTTCAATGTTGAGGTTCTTTTTTCAAAGCTATATAGATAGCCTATAAAATCGATAAGAAATTTTAAACGGGCCCATAGATTCAGAGAAACGTATAGAAAAACAAATTTTTCATCTTTATATTATTAGGTACTCGTATAATATTGATAAAGGCTATCACCAAGCTACATCTTTTAACAGTGAAGTAATTGTCTAATATATAAATATCTCTTGTCACGGTGTTTGTGGTCGCACTCCTCCGAAACGGCTCCACCGATTCTAATGATTTTTTTTGTATATTTGGTAGGTATAAGAATAGTTCGTAAAGTATTTTTTACCCTCCTACCCCTACCCCCCGTTTTTTAATCAAATTGTATAAGTATGTATATAGCAACGAACCCGGGCGACGCGAGGGTGAGCCGCTGTATAACATAAAGCCAACGAGATTTTTTTATAGTTTTGCTAGTATGTATATAAATAAAATACGCGAACGGATTCGCGGTTAAAAGAAAGTCAATTAATTTTAGTTTTATGCAGTCCTTCTCTTATAACCTTTAACCATGCCAAAGCTCATACATCTCCGTATATGCAATATACTTAAAAAGGGTTCAAATTTTCTCTTCACGTATTAATACAGAGATAATATCCTACATTTTGATATTTAATTACTTAAAATGCTTTAGATATATTATTTGCGAAACTTTGAAAAGAAAAAATAATTCCAATAAGATGAAAGAAACTTAGCTAAGCTATCTTTATTTGATCTTTTTTTATTTTTTAATAAGAACTAATTCTTATATTTTAAATTTAATATTAAAATACTGTGGAGTCTATTTTCATATGATGTTTTTTATATACATATAATTCAAGCAACTAAAGATTTCCATGAGTCAAATAAGAATATATTAAAATAGTTAATTAGAAGAATGAAATAAGTATAGCAACGATCGACATTGTTGAAAGATCTAAATGGACTCCAATAAGAAATATTTCTTTTTAATGATTATATTAGTAAACGATTATTATTATTATAGACTAGTATCCTCGCTTCGCTCGGGTGCGTCCCTAGGCGTTTTAGTTTTTTGGCGTTTTAGTTTTTTGAGCGGAACCCTAATTCTTTTACTGAAATAAAGCAGCCTAAGTTACTCTCTATAAAAATAGCTATCTACCAGTGAAAGTGCGTCAAAATCAATCCAGTCGTTTTGGAGATAAGTCGGAACAAACAGAAGACAGGCAGACAGAAAAAAATGTGTTTTTCTTATAAGTAAAGTATGTATACTACTTTCATACGCATTTAGTAAAAAGCTATTATTTTGACATTACAAACAGATACTTTAATTTTATGTATCTGTGTAGATAATGAAGACACTTTTATAATAATATTATCACGTTCACAACTCCGGTAATGGGTTTCCATGGGAGGATAATTTTAAGAGCAATTTAATTAAATTATGTCCAAAAGCTGAAAGAAAGGAACTTTACGAGGGTTAAGTCTCAATAAAAGTAAGTGATTGTAGAATTTTCAAAATGCTGATTATTTTAATGGAAAAGATAAATAAACGGGAAGACTAAAGAAATATTGAATATTCATATTTTTATGATATATTTAGCTGATGAAAGAATAATTAGTTCGGTAATAGAAGGTGACATAGTAGGAACAAACGTGTCAAACTACGTTTCTAAGTATCACAATGTATATAATTCTTTTCCTGAGAAAATGTATGAAATATTTTGGCTACAATGTTTAATGTAACAAGCTACATGGGGAACATTAAACGAATTAAAAAATATTTAAATACAAAAAAAAAATCTATACACAGCTGAACGAATGAACAAACGGTAATTTGACATATATACATATTTAAAAGCAAATTAAATTAAAAAACTATAGCAAATTACGGTTTGTTTATTTCATTGTTCATTTTCCGTATATCCATTAGATACTCGTATCATAATATTAAATCATTTAAGGAAAATAGCACAACAATTTTTTTTCTAGATATTTTTAACTCACCACGCAAAAAGAGGGGCGTTATAAGTTTGACGTGTGTATCTGTGTATCTCTGTGTACCTGTGTGTTTGTCTGTGGCTTCATAACTCCTAAACGAACGGACAGATTTTAATGCGGGTTTTATTGAAAGCTGGCTTAGCCGAGATGATTCTTAGCTATGTTTCATCCAAATGGACTGACCCTTTTTTGACTGTCGGGGGTTTTTTAAAATGTTTAATTTTATCTTCTGGATATTTTTAATTATAACGATTTTTTTGTACCTTCACCCAAACCCTTAATCTCTTTAATTAAAATAGCATATTATGTATTTTTTTCATATTAACTGTCCGTTCATCAAAGGGAGAAGAGATACTCGTAACAATAAGAAGCAAGTTCATTTTTAATTGGTTTTTGACAGTTAAAATACTAATAAGAAGATCAACTAGTACGTAGCAATTAGATTAATAATTATTTACTGCGAGTTGTACGAGTATAATCATTAAACGCAAGTTTTTAATGACTGTCGGATGTTTATGAATGCATCCATTGAATAGATTACATGAATCTTCATACGTAGATGGACCATGTACTAGACTTACACTTATAATACTTTTTACAGTGGCAGTACAATTATTTAACTTGACTGTTGCTTAAGGGACAGTATTTAATTCTAAAGTTATTGTAGCCATAAATTAAAAATTATTTTAGCATTAGAAGTTACGGCCAGAAACAAGTGTATAAAAGTATCTTTTTTTTTCTATTTCTAAATTTACCTCATCCGGTGAATTGGAGATCCTATCAGTGTTGTTTTCATCATCAGACGTCTCCAAAAAACTGTTTGAAAACAGCATATTTCGTGAATATAAGGAATAGCAATCAGCCACATTCCTTCTTCTTTTCCCAAGAGTGGCCAGGAAACTTTTATAAAGTTGCGTCGGCAAAAGGAATGGTGATCTTGCATTTTGGAAACCATCTTTAAAAGACAAATTTTGATTTCTAAATGGATTTGCAAAATCTAATTCTGGTAGAAATTCTTTTTTTATAAAATCAGCTACAGGATGTAAGGACAAAGTGTTTTCAGTATAATCTAATGCTGTGCTTGCTCCCTCATCGCTTGGATTGTTCTCTACATCACTAGTCTCTGAATTCGCATCACTAAATGAATTATCTTGATCCTTATTTTCAGAGTTAAACTCTTCAAATTCTCGCTTCATTGGAAAATTCATTTGTTTCTTCATAAACACGTTCGAATTGGAAAGTGTCACAGACATATTATTGGCACTAAATTTTTATCACTTATTTATCTTACAAAATATAGTTAGCAATTTACACTAATGTCTATAATATTTAAAATAAAAATAAATATTTCTTCGTAATTACAATTATTTAGGTATTTATAGGAACTATCGTTGGGTTAGGAGGTGGCTGGACCGTTACTGGAAAAAACAGGTTAAATTTTAAAATGGAACTGATGTTGTTGTCTTACGTTTAAAGTAATTTAATTTGATCGTCTTTTATGTTGATGTAACGTCATAATATTTTAATTATTTTATTGTTGTTTTTTTATATAAAAATGTATTTTAATAATTTTACGCGCTTATTATTCTTATATATGAAAAGAACCGACTCGCACTGTATCTAACATTTGAATACGTAACACGAATTACTTGGATGTATTCCCAAGAATGTTAAAGTTTAGCGAAGAATCCGAACATTTTCATCTTTTATGAGTTATTTTATACAAAAGTTATATCAAAGTCTTAAAATAAAGGCAGTAAAATTAAAATCGATTGGACGCTACGACATTCGCGGATGTAGGTCGGAGCTAAAATATTTTTGTGACCTCTCATATTTTTATCTAAAGTGAAATGGTGTACGAAGTTTTAAAACGAAATATTATTTATGGCACTGCAACTATTTTTGGTTTTGACTGACAGTTTGAAACCACGTTTAAATAAAGAGTAATAACACTTTTAAATTAAATATAACTTAATAGCTTTAAATGATCTAAAAACAGAAAAAAGTAAAAATAAATAAATTAAATAACCTTTAATACAATTAAAAAAGTCATCTTATTAATTCAATAATATTTAAGGCAGGTAACATTATCGATGGTTGAAATTCATTCGAAATTGAGTAAATGTTTACGGGAAAGTCGACCTAATCTATAAATAAATAAGATTGAATATAAAATAATTTAAATGGTTGGACTTCGAGCTTTATTGTTCTGTGTCTATCAATGATCCTTTATTTTTTCATGCTTGCTATTATAGTTACGAACTATTATTTGAAGGCAGTAAAATGAAATTTTTATTTTTTAATTTGAGAGAATTTTACTATAAAAAGAGTCAAGGGCATGTTTTATCTTTTTAATTTAATTAGTATCTTTCCAATTATGTATGATATATAAAATAAATTATTAAGATGTCTGGTTTTTTTTTTGTTATTTTAATTTAATATATATAAAAATTAAATGTAACGTTTTTGTCACTTCTGTTATTTCATCAAGATAAGAATTAATAAATTAATTAATTTTAATTTTGTAATACCAGAAATTCCTATATTTTGAAAGAAGTACAATATGAAGTTTAAACAAAAATAGTACCTATATAATGTACAATTGTACCAGTATAATGAGTAATGAGTATATTTATATATAATATATGTACTTAAATGTATCAATTTCTTTATCTTTGAACATAGCAAAATATATTTTTATTCAAATTTTTTGTACACTGGTACACTATTGTAAAACTCCATGAAAATATCACAAAGCCTTATAATTTCTAAAATTATTATTTTTTTACTAATTTGAAATAAAAAAAATTTTTTTAACAAAATGAAAAATAATAATTATAAAATAAAGTAAAATTAAAAAAGATGGTAAGTCTCATCCGTCGTAAAAAAATAATGCATGTCATCTTCAAATACCACGAAATAAAACATGCGAAGGACCAATTATCGTCACACGCGCACACCGACACTCATTAACGCACACATTTACATCATTGGACACGTGACAATGAAAACAAAACTTTCAATTCATTATTTACGGTACAACCAATCACTTTTGGCGCGAATTGACTAATCATTATTTTTAATTTATTGCCTTTTTTACGCTTTTTACGTTTAACTTTGAATATCATGGCCGATATTTGTTATCATAACGATTTTATTAGATTGTTTTGATTTTAGGTTTGAAATATAATTTTAGAGAACGTCTAGATGTCTTTACCGCGAGGTATTCGCTATGAAACTCTTCCCGAGAGGTTGGTGCAAGGAAAAGCATTTCCACAACACATTGAAAGTTTTCTTCGTCCGCGCATGTGTGCGTCGTGATCACACGTGTCTGCGTGTCCGGACGCGGCGAGATGCGCCTGTGTGCACTTTGCCAGTGTGAGTATTTTATGACTCTGAGTGCATCCCTTTCGAACTGCATGCGATTTATATGTGTGCACTTTATTTTTTTTCTAAACGGCGCGGCTCCATGTGTATGAGAGAAATTTTCGTGTACGGGTGCACTGTTTTTTTGATTCGCGTCAATGTATTCGAAACGTTATGGTTTTAGTAATAAAGTTGTTATTCCATTGAATATTATTAATGTATTTTTCAGTTTTATATCGCCGATATGAGAATCGCGGATGGAAAAGAAAATGTAAGAGGAATAAAAAAATGTATGCATCGTACGTTTTCAGGTAGACACATTTTTCTTTAACCCATTTATAGATGTTTTATATATGTGTGTGTGTGTGGATTGGGTGTGGGGGTTAAAAGGGTTGGGTACCCCCTAACATATAAAAATGATAACGCATCGCAAGACGGCAGCTTTTATGGTTTTTCTTTATTTTTTAAAGGTTTTTATTATTGAAGCAAAGAGTAATACGTCCGTTGGAAAATGTATTTTCAGCTGTCTCTAATATAACAAGCTTTCTTTAACATCAAAGTTGTAACTATAAAATAATTTCTAAGGTGAATATACTTTGAATACAGTTATGTTTGAAATGCACTTCACTCATTTATATTATATTCTTTTTTAAGAAATCTCTAAAAGTAGGAGAACGTGGAAAGAAAACCTGTCTCTTATTAAATGTTCCCATGCTGCATTTTTTTTTCAATTACTATGAAGCACTATCTTTGTTAGTTTATTTCTCAGGGTATTTTACTTATAAATTTGCAAATTATATACGATATTTACGAATAGTTTTCTCTAAGTATATATCGCTGTAGAATATCTCGTTATCATGTTTTTATATTGTAGTTGAAAGATTCAACTTTATCTGCCGTACCTACGTTATCTTTATTTCTAAATTAGTAGGTATTATTGGATTCTGAAAAGCTAAATGTATATTTCAGTTTACGGTCAGTGAAATAGGTCATTTCATTAATAGCGTTAGATCATAAGTCTTTTTTTTAGAAGTAATGAGAGAGAATTTAATGAATAATTGGAAAAGATGTTATTTAAAAAATGTTTAAACTCAAGACTAACTTTGATTCTTTTCTTATATACTCGTAATATGGAAAGGGTATAGGCAGGGGTAGCCCAGTGGTAACGAGCTCGCTTAGGAAATCGAGTGAAGCGGATTCAAATCCCTGATCTCGCACCTCTGATATTTTCGTGTGTGAATCATTTCCAACATGATTACCACTTGTTTTACGGTGAAGGAAGGATCGTGAGGAAACTCGCATGTCTGAGAGAACCTAGCAAGTTTTCGAAAGACATGTGCAGTGCACCAAGCCTCACTTGGCCAGCGTGGTGCATGTAGCCAGATGACTGAATACCTGGTAAAAAATCTTTCACTGAGAGACAATTACATTATCTATAAGTAACTTAAATACATCTTTTTAATATTTGCGAGTGGAACCATAGACGAAAACTAGTGATTTATATCAACATAACACAATATTTCAGATGATAATCTGTGTCGGAGGTTCTAGGTTCAATTCTCATACATGGTAGTATTAATCGTTTTTAACTTTATTACAGATAAATAAAATATAAGTGTATGGTTGTAATTTCGAAATAAAAGCTTATTACTAAATACATTTGAAATACTATAAGATACTTATAAAATAACAATTTTTAAATTGTTTGTCTGACTGCCCGTTTGTTCCGGCTAATCTATGAAACGGCTGGACTGATTTTGACAGGACTTTCACTAGCAGATAGGCGATGTTATATAGAGTAACTGAAGCTACTTTTATTGTAGAAAAAAAATGCAGCTTTAAAAAATTTAAACGTACTTAAAATTATTATAGAATGCAAACAGATTCAGCAAAGAAAATCTAACAATCATACAAAGTTCAGTTCGACGACACGTTTGGCTCAGTTTGTTGTTTTTACTTGCTGTGCCAGCGGTCGCGGGTTCGAGTCCCGCTAGCGGCATTCATTTGTGTGATGACCACGAATGTTTGTACTCCAGTCATGGGTGCTTATAATATTTATGTATTTAAAGTTATATATGTGTAGTGTATCAACTAGCTGGTATCCATAACACAGGCCTCGTCGTAGCTTACCATGGAACTAGATGGTGCTGTGTGTTAATGTCCCAATATATTTATATATTTATATTTATTTATAGATATTTACGAAAATTATGATTCTTTATAAAAGATGGATTCGACACTACACATTACATTCAGGAGTCGAAGGAGTGATATCTCTAGACCAATACGTTTTATGTATATTGTATACGGTACGAGTATAATCTATCTTTTACTCTAGGATTTAGTAATAATGAGTAATATTTATATATATTCAATTAATAAAATCCAAAACTTATAGTTGAGAATCTTCTAGAATGCTTCTATACAATTTTGTAATTGATGAGTAATAACAGAAGGAAATAATAATATCTTATAATTGATAAAAAAATGCGTTTTAACTAAGATTCCGAAAGAATATGATGAGGAGACATTAAAGAAGTTTTTTTTATGAAAATAAATTGATAACGCCATTCCAGAAATATAACCTACAAACAATAAATATATCCTTATTTCGCTCGCCTTAGTAGTAACAGTAGTTCATATTATGTTACTCCAGTTCCATAGTTTCTCTGTGTATTAAATATCATCCAAATGTGTCCAGCCCTTTAGCGCTATAGCGTGAAGCAGTAACAAACATGCACACATATGAAAACTTTTGCATTTATAATAGTAGTCCGGTCCGGTACATTTAAAAATAATCATAAAAATCGGCTCACATTTAGCGTAGCGCACATACAAAAAC